TTTCTTTTTGTCAAAATTTGAAAATGTTAAAACTTGTAAGGAACTTTTTGGTGTCTCTAGTGAACTGCCTGGCAACCAAAACAAAACAATATTACCCCCTGGCACCGATAGAGATCTTTGTAGTAGCTTTTCAGACTTTTTTTCTAAAAAAATCACCTCCATCAGGCAAGAGCTCGATAAATTGCCCCAAATTACCATCAGTTTAAGGGGCTAGTCATCGATTATTTTACTCCAGCAACGGAAGAAGAAATCAAAAAGGTCATATTAGATAGTCCATCATAAAGTTGCGCCTTTGACCCCATGCCCACCAGCCTTTTAAAAAAATGTTTGCATGAACTTCTTCCACATATCACCCAAATTGTAAATGATTCTCTCCTCACAGGCACAGTACCGAATTGCTTTAAGACAGCACATGTAAGACCCCTTTTGAAAAAAGCTGGACTTGATGAAAAGGACTTTAAAAAATGTAGACCAGTTTCAAATCTTTCTTTCCTATCCAAAATTCTGGAAAAAGTTGAATCTAATAGACTGTTACATCATATTAAAGCAAACAATCTTGGCGAAGTCTATCAGTCAGCATAATATAAGGCACACCATAGTACCGAGACAGCGTTACTTAGGGTCTGTACTGATATTTTAAAATGTATTGATGAAAAAAAGGCATGTCTTCTTACTCTTTTGGACCTTTCGGCTGCATTCGATACCATTTGATCATGACATTTTACTCGAGAGATTAAATACTACTTTTGGCTTTGAGTCATATTTTAAGGATCGAACAAAAGCAGTTGTGGTTGGAATCACGTGTTCTAATAATGTTTTGCTTAGATGTGGTGTTTCTCAGGGGTCTGTTCTTGGACCTGTCTTGTTTACAATGTATACACAACCTATTGCTGATATTTTAAGACAATATGGCATGAATTACCATCTTTATGCTGATGACACTCAAATTTATAAGTCTATTGATTTCGATCAAATACCACTTTTAGTCGACTCTACTGAACAATGTACTAGAGATTTAAAAATATGGATGACCAGCAATAAATTGAAACTAAATGATGACAAGACGGAAATAATGTTGAGTGGAAATACAAAAGCCATTAAAAATCTCCCAGAGCTACACGTTGATATTAATAACCATACTATTCGTTCAAAAAGAAGTCTTAAAAATCTAGGGGTTCAGTTGGATTATGATATGTCTATGTCCTCCCAAATTAGCCAGCTCAGCAAAAGTATTTACTTTCAGCTTAAGAAAATTGGCAGTGTACAAAATTATTTAACTAAAGCAGCAGCCAAGACACTTGTAACAACACTAATTTTATCAAAGTTAGATTACTGTAATGCTATTTTGTCCGGTTTGACATCCAAAAAACTATCAAAGTTACAAGTACCACAAAATCAAGCAGCAAAATTGATAATGAAACAAAAGAAATGAGCGCACGTAACACCAATTCTGAAAGAACTACACTGGCTGCCAATAAAAGAATGGATCAAATACAAAACTGCCGTTCTCTGTTTAAAATGTATAAATTATAGTGCACCTTTTTATCTTAAAACATTCCTGGAATTATATCATCCACCTAAAGCCCTTAGATCAGCCTCTGATAATCTAATTCTTAAAACTCCAAAACAAAATTACAAAACATACGGCGAGCGTTCATTTTTATTCTTTGGTCCCCAGATATGGAACGAACTCCCATATAAAATAAGATCTGCCCCAACAATTTCCATTTTCAAAAAATCAGCTGAAGCATTTTTTATTCACAAAAGCATACCTGTCATAATGATGTACTATGAATGCATAATAAGCATGCCAGACTGTGAGACTGAAGAAATAGCGTGTGAGAATGAGAGAGAGAAAAAGAGAGAGATGGGGAGAGAAAAGAGAGAGAGATAGAGAGAAAGGGAGAGAGAGAGAGAGAGAGAGAGAGAGAGAGAGAGAGAGAGAGAGAGAGAGAGAGAGAGAGAGAGAGAGAGAGAGAGAGCGGAAATGGTTTCATATCTGTATAGAACTAATGTTTTAATGAATGTTTCTAGTTACTCTCGTTTCAACTTATTGTGACCGTTCGTGAATTTCTATTGCATTGTATTTTTTTGGTGAACACATTTTCAACCTCACTGCGAGATTATTTTTCTCATATAAAATTGTACACATATGCATTTATATTATATGTATAATACGTTGTTTTACGTACGCACTTGTCGATTACTTTTTAAGATGTGATGTCTTTTCGTTGTAATGCGCATTGGACATATACAAACACACACACACACACACACACACACACACACACACACACACACACACACACACACATACGGCGTTTGAGGTACATTAATATTATAACAGAAAGGCACTTGACCTTTGCGTGCAGAAAAAAGTGAATTCAATAACAATGTGTGGAGATGTGATTTTGTTTTATTAATTTCAGTCAAGTATTTCCGTCTATTAACTGCGACGTTGTAGGCCTATTCTCTCAACGTGGGCTGGCACTGCCAGGAAGGTTTGAAGTAGCCCGCCTCCTAAATGAGATTAAAATTGTGTCGGGCGAAGCATAATTCATAATACAATAACAATTAACAATAATATAATGCTTTTAGTCCCTGCTCATTCGGCATCAGGACTGAGTGCGTAAAAAGCCGCCTAGGTTTGCTTAGATCTAAGAAGGCATATGCCGACACCAATGATTCAAATAGAATTGGTAGCCTACTTCCATCTGAATGTCTGAGCTCGATCTTGACCTCAAGTGGCTACCCTAGAATTACCAAATTCTATCTGTTCAGTAGGCCCCTACCTAGTTTTGATCAATTTGACGTCAAAACTTTTGAGTTTCATAACATGTCAACTTTTTCGAAAGCAATTCAGGGATATTTCTTGATGACGACTCGGAATAATCTTACAATTCTGATAGAGCAGACCGGACATGATTTGGTGTCTCACCTCACGGTCTTAGTTAATTCATAACGGCCAAAAATGTCAGATAGAACCTTTTAATTCTGAGGTAGCGGAGCTTCTGGTACAACGCGAGCAGTGTCTGGTTGCGACTGACAATACATATCGGGACAAGCCAAGCTGTTCAATTTTCTTGGGCCAGAAAGCAAAATTATTTTTTTATCTGGAGAAGAAACAAAATTGTACTAGCTTGATGTTGCTTTTTTCTCGGCGTTTTTTCTCAACTTTCAAATTTAGAATTTGAATTTCGACAAAACATTTCACATACATCAGATATCAAATAACACAATTAGAAATAAATCTTGGGCTTAGTCGATCTGAACAGCTGGCGGATGTAATACCTGATGTCTGTGATTTATATTTGGTTAGGGAGGTTATCTCTTTTCAGCTCGTAAGTTTGATAATTTGGAGTCTTAACGACCATTCACGATGCGCTCGTCAAATTCATTAAGCACCTCCCATGTGCAAACTCCAATTATTCGGCGCTCTTGTTTCCGTCACGCAGATTTTAGGTGTGTAGTAATAGTTTTGCTTATCTCCACATTAAAAGAAGATTCTTTATTATATCATTTTTTGAATAAATGACTTGGCTGCATCTTACAGTCCCCGCTCCCTCCATGTTT